TATTTGCCCAACTCACTAAATGATCTAAATTCTTTTGTAAAGCAGCAGCATCCTCTTCACAGCTAGCAATCCCGAACACCTTAATATCACCTGAAAATTTAAGTAATTTATTGACCACTAGCTGGAGCACCCATCCCCTGGATGGAAATTATGTCAATTCATGATTAATGGAAGGTTATCTTAGGAAATGAAAAGTTGCTTCCCTTATATGTAGTTGTAAAGAAAGCAAAAATACCCATATAAACATAAAATGTGAAACATTGGTTACTGTACAGATAGATTTGTTTGTTTGTTTGTAGTTATGTACATTATAGGATGGTCACTATTAGATAATATAATGTACATAACTACAAACAAAGGATGATCACTATTAGCAAATCTATCTGTACAGTAACCATATTCAATTATCAAACAAACAAATTATCTAATAGTGATCATCCTATAATGTACATAACTATTGAATATTGGTTAAGATGGGGTGTTTTGCAAGACCTCTGGTGGTATACTCAGTGGTATATACATATATTTCTAGATATCAGTAAGTGGACCGTCACTCATGGCCTTCATGAGGAAAGTAGAAAGGGATTTCTGCCCATCCCTGCTGACCCTTTGATTGAATAAATTGGGGTCATTCTGCTTTTGAAAATAGGGTCACGCTGACACCCGTTGCACTTTCTCCAGGGTGACATTCCTCCAGACTCTCCTCTGCATTTACTCTCCCCCTTTTTTTTCTTCCAGTGGAGCAAGGGAGTCCTTACCACTTCCCAGTTGCTGGGATGGTGGACCATGGAGGCTTCCTCTTGAGTGCATTTTAATTTACCATGCATATACATGATTTTCCAATCAGTGAGAAGAGAGCAAAACTGGTTTCCCTCCTTCCATTTCCTCTGAATGCTTTTCCCAGGTGAACCACTGTCAGTTGAAGAAGAACCAGCCTATGCGGGATCCTCTTTGTAATACCAGGTTCAGGATAACACTGCCCTGTTCCTATGGTTATGTGCAGTAGAGGCTCCTCTTCTTGTTAATTCTGGTTGCAGGAGGTTCTTTCCCTGCTCCTATGGTGGAGTTTGGGGAAGTTAACCTGCCTTATAGTATTGGCAATGGGATGTACATACACTGTTCCTAAGGTTGACCAAATGTTCCATGTGCTCCTCATAAGATGTCTTCCCTGCATTTATGGTTGGGTGAGTTATGATTTGTGCTCATAACACCAGTTACAGATATTGCCCTGTTCTTACAATTGAGTTGAGGCAACATCACGACCTCATAATGCCAGGTTCTTTTTGTTGTACTTCTAACTCCTATGGTGGTTTTGGGAGTTTGTCCAGTATC